AGGGTTTGGATCAGTCCCTGCTTGTGAATGGAGCCAAACTTTCTATAGGCTCATTATCTCATTATCTATCTGACAGGCATGTGGAAGGAGCTTTTCTGGGAGTAATATTTTATTTGGGGGGGGGGGTTGCTTCCCACACAGGGAAGGGGGAAAGAAAGAAATTGAGAGAGAGAAACAGCACAGCAATTTAGGGCTAGAAGGATACTCAGAGGTCATCTAGTCCAACCCCCTGCTGCAACAGGAAATCTTACATTGTCTCGATTATATTGGTGCCTCTAACAAAGAGGAAAATTGCCAGAAAGGAGAAGGAGTTTACTAGGACAAGGCTGCCATGCAGAGGAAGGCAGAGATAGTCCTTGACTTATGACTACAATTGAGCCCCAAATTTTGGTTGCTAAGCAAGAGCGTTGTTAAGTGAGCTTCACCACATTTTACCCAATCCATGACATCTCCTGGTGAGTGACATCAAATTGGCCACACCCACCCAGTCGCATGACTGCTAAGCCACACCCCCAAAATAGGCCATGCACACAGAATAGGTAGTAGAAATTTTTGAAACAATGATAGCTTGGGCTAAAAACTTTGGTTATACGATAGAAATTATAAAATTACAGTGTCAACTGCATATAAAGAGAATTTGTATAAGATGATTGATAGATGTAATTGGCCACCGGCAAGACTGGCGAAGACGTTTAAAGACAAATCAACTAAATGTTGGAAATGCCACGGGCTCCTATCATATGTGGTAGGCCTGCGCGGAAGCAAAAAAATACTGGACTAAAATACATACGTAGCAGGAAAAGAAGATACAACAACATATTGACTTAAAGTCTGGAATATTTTTGCTGGGGATTTTACCAGAAAATTATAGCAAAGAAAAACTATATTTAATTATTGATGTTATAACAGCAGCAGCTAGGGTTGTATTTGCACAAAATTGGAAACGATCCCTACAGAGGAGAATGTGAATAAGAAAATATTAGAATGTGCAGAAATGAACAGATTGACGCTATCAAAGAGAAAGAACAAACTGATTATTATACAATTTGGGAATCTCTCTACTGGTGGTTAGAGAATAGACATGAGAATTAATAGTAAAAGAAGTTATCTGAAGTATAGAAAATGTGTTAACAGCTAATATAACTAATAGAGTTAAATAAATTACAATGGGATTGTTGTAATATTAGCTACTTAAGGTATTGGAAATTAAGCCAAGATGAGATTAAATAATAAATAAGATTGTATATTTAAATGTTGGCACAAAATATTTGTACCCAGACGACACACTGGTTAATGGAAAATGGATTGTTTATATAAAAATAAATTATTTTAAAAAAATGAGTAAGAGAAAGCTTAATTTTTCCCGTTCATTTCCATATAGATTAATTTCAGAGCTCCAACTCTAAAGCTGGGTTGTTCCCTCAGAACAGAAAGGATGTCCCGTTGGTCCTCTTTCTCATTTCTTTAACACAGCCGAAAGCAGGATTTTAGGATAAACAGAGATGGATCTATAAGATCTTCAAGGCAGGCCCTCATCCGTAAGACTGAATGTGCAACAATCCACCTCCAAATATCCATACATTTGAATCGTTTTGCACATTGCACAATATTAGGCATAGTTGTTTCCTTTCTTTTCTCTAAGGTCAGGATTTCCTTTTTCCTCCTAGCCTTGGAGGACACATCTATTTTTTTTAGTGCAGATTTTTTAATAAATATACTTCTTCCATGTTACTTACCTGCTTAAACAGCATGGCGATATGATAGTGATGGGGCTGGATGGGGTGGAGAAAGAGCTGGGATTCTGAGAAGCTGAGACCGGCTGAGTTTTATTTCCCAATAGATATATATATAGGGACTATTCAGAAGGCTGGAAAAGGTGAATTATGGCCAGTCCTCACACTTACAACCAGTCCTCACATTTATACCCCTTGCAGCATCCTCACACTCACATGATCAAAATTTGACTGTTTGGAGTTTTAAAAAGGATATGAAAGAAAAATATATATTATGTAAGGATAGTTTGGAAGGAAGGAATTTAAATTTAATACTCTAGTTCAATACATGTATGTTAATCAGTTAAAGAAAAAGAGGTATTAGAAAGTTTTGATTTTAGAAAGGTATTTAAAGAAAAGTTTAGCATTTTAAACACAGTGGGAAAAAAGAATATTTTCCCCTCAAGATCAAGGAATCTGAAAGAATACAGTGAACCTTGGTTAACAGAACCTTGTGTAAATAGAAATACATATTATTTTCATAGCAAGGAGATAAAGCAGGAATAGTGAAATAGATCATTTCATTTAAAGAGAAGAATACATTCCTTGTGATGAAAAAAAATTAAATTTTGACTTTGCTTTTGTCAATTAAATACATTTGTCATTATAGAAATGGCTTGTTGAAGCAGAAAGTGGAGCCAGGAATGTTTTTACCTGTGCTAAAAAGAGTCAATGCCTCCCCCTCCCCCCCTTTGTACCTCACATTTTCTTTCCCCCCCTTTTTCCCTTCCCCTAATTTTTATTACTACTTTTCTTTGTATTTTATATATTAAATAAATAAAATAAAAAATGATTTAAAGAATAATCTGATCAGCAAATTGCTCAACAGATGGAAATACTAGCTCTTATTTGAGACTCGGCCCTCTCCAAAAGATGAGATGTCTATAAGGAGACACGGCGAGTCTGAAAAAGGGGAAATACGTAAAGTTCAAGACGGATCATAGCAAGTCTAGAGAAATTTACTCTGAATGGGTTTAAATTTCCAGGTTGAAATGAATCTGCTAACCCGAGAGTACTGGAAGAATTTGCTGACAAACTAATTGAACTTTTAGGCATTATTTCTGAGAAGTCCTTAAGAACTGATCAAGTGACAGATGACTGGAAGAGGAGAAGAATCCTTATCTTCAAACGGAGGGGAATCGAGGATCTGAGGAACCACTTACAAATCAGTCTGACATTGATCTTCTTGAAGAGGTTGATCAGTAGGCAGCTGATAACAATTCCATAATTATAAGATGTCAGCCTGGATCTATCAAGAACAAACCTAACCATTTATTTTTGATTAGTTATCTCCTTTAGTAATTTATAGAAATGCTATAGGTACAATTGTTCATTCTTTGCCAAAATTCCCCCAAATATTATAATTAGTATTATGGATAGCATGACAATATACAGTCAGCTTAAAATCATATTCCCAAAATGCTCGTTGTGATTGTTCAAGGAACAATCTAGTTTGATGAGCCAAAGGTATATCACATGGGGACAGAAACCTTATGCTGTACTTCGGCACTGTACTCTTCATTTGCCTTATTAATGATTGAGATCAGGGCTGCCAAACTTGTGGCCCGTGACCGGGATGCATCATGTGCTGGCCACGCCCACACCCGGTTTAGCAAAAGGGGGGGGGGAGTTGCAGTATATCGTGTAATGTCACCGTGATGACACAAGTTTGACAATTTAGATGAAGAGGTGGAATAAATACTTATCTAATTAGCAAATGATATAACATTAGTTACAATAGTCAATTGACTTGAAAAAAAATAACATTCAGATGATAGATTAAAGACATGAGCTGAAAGTAACAGAATTCAATTGAATAGAGACAATTGTTAAGATTTCTTAAGTTGAAAAGAGAAAATTACACATACCGTATTTTTCGGAGTATAAGATGCACTTTTCCATCCCTAAAAGAGGGTGAAAATTTGGGTGCATCTTATACACCGAATGTAGTCCCACCCACCTGCTGTCCCCCACCCTTTGGCCTCTTCCTCCCAGCGATTTGCCTCCTTGCAGCAAACAGCAAGCAGCCTGTTTCAGTTTTAGCTTCATCAGTTTGATTAGCACAAGCAGCTGATTGTTGATTGGCTCGGCCTCCTGACCCTCAGCTGTTTGAGGCTGCAGGAATTGTCATTGCCTATTGCTGCCTCCACATGTCCTGTTTTGGCCTCTGTGCCCCATTTTCCACCCATTCTGATCCCCGCTGCCCGCAACGGGCAGAAAATGGGGCACCTGGAGGCTGAAAATGATATGCAGAGGCTGAAAATGGGGGATGCAGAAGCGGCAATAGACTATGGCAATCCCTGTAGTCTGAAACAGCTGATCGTTGGGAGGCCGATCCAACCGACAATCAGCTGCTTGTGCTAATCAGGCTGTGCTGAAATTGAAACTGAAACAGGCTGTTTGCTGCAAGGAGGCAATTTGCTGGGTGGCAGAGGCAGTTATTTTTCTTCCTCCCCAAAAGGTAGGTGCATCTTATACTTCAGAGTGTCTTATACTCTGAAAAATATGGTATATGTAATAGATGCAGTACCTGGCTGATCCACAAGTATTCTGACCAGTTCGGGGCATTATTATTTAAGAAAGATTGAGTCAGGTTCAGAAAAGGGTAACAAGAATTTTCAAGGAACAAGACCAAGAGAAATTGAATAATTTATTAATATTTAATTGTGAGAAAATGTGGAGGACAAGGGTTATCACACCATTCCTTGAATACCTGAAAGGTCGTCACGCAGAAGAAGTCTTATTAATCCAGAGAATAGGAATAATTCATTATGCAATAATGAATCTAAGTTACAGAGTCCAATAGAATGTTCTGCCATGGGATCAATTCTCCAGTGTGGTGACGGAATCCTTCCCACTGGATATGTTCGAATAGAGGTTAAAACAGGCACGCTTTAACATGAATTCCTGCACTACAGGAAGTACAGAAAGTAGATTGGACTCAATACCATAAAAGGTAATTCTGTGTTTATGATTATATGATTTTGTGATAAGCTACTATCGCCAAAGAAGCTAAAAATTACAAAATGCAGTATCTTTGCCATTCCAAATCTTTCTACTGCTTTCAAAATGAAGTGTTTCCCTTAATTTGAAACTGCCCTTTGAATTTCCCAGAATACCTCGAAGTTGAAATGGGGAAAATTGGGTGGAATTTAAGATAAGACTCCCAGCTGCCCAGTGCCAATCAGATTATCCACTAAAGGCGCTTCTTCGGTGATTCCAGGAGATTCTTACGGCCAGCCCAGAGCACAACGGTTAAATTAGGAGCAAAAAGGCGCCTTGATCCCAATCACAGATCAGTTCAGTCTTTGGTAAGATACTGTGTTTCAGTCTGGATTCTAGGTACAGATTCAGAATAATATCGACCTACCTTCCAGAATGAGTAAAGTGCTCTGAACGATGAGGAAAGCATGCACAAAAACATTACATTTTCAATTTTACCTTTTCAAGAAAAGAAAAGAAAAATCCATGGATAAATCCTCTCTTCCTTGGAAGCATTTAAAGCTGCCTTTCCCAGCCTCTGCCTTACAGGTGTGTTGGCCACGATGGCTGGGAAATAGAGGCACCGAGTTCCAACACATCCGGAAGGTTCCAAGTCGAGGAGGATTTCACTGAGATACGTGAACAAGGTGCTGATTGGGAGCTCCTGCCTCTCTTCTGTTCCCAGCTCACCTATAGATTGAGGGGAGAATCCCATCAACGGTGACCTTTCAGCCAATGACTGAGAGCTCATGGTGGCTCTTCAATAGTAGCCAAAGCCAAAAGGGAGAGCCAAAATCTGTGGCCAGAAATAGCACTGGCATAGGTTGCAAGTCAGAAAAAAGAACTTGCTGAGGCAACTTCAGCTGGCAGTGCTGTGAAGTCCTGAGAGGAGATTCATAGGCAGACATTGATTTGATTGGCGAGTTCTCACTCAAGGTCCAAGATGAGAGCATCAAAGTCTTTCAAATTGAGCCTCGGGCTAAAGGGAGTCTCTGCATCCTCCACCAGGGCAAAATCGCCCATGTAGACGGTCCTCAAAGCCCCCTCCTCGTTCTCCTCTTCCCTGTCACTCTCACTCCCTGCCACCTCATCGTAGTCGGCCTCGCTGCCTGGCTGGGAGGCTCTCAGGAACTGCTGTCCACACACACTCCAGTCTCCAGCATAACGGTTTCTTGGAGGACTTTCCAATCCTCTTGGGTGACTTCGAGTAGTGACGGTGGTCTTTGCCAGTGGCAGATCCAGGGGAGGGTGGCACTGACGACAGGCCTGCTTGGTTGGAAAGGTACGTTCCCCGTCTTCCGTCTTCCTACGTGGCACTAAGAAGGAACGCAGAATGAGGTAAGCAGGGCAAGGGGCAATGGAAGCTAACCCAAAGGGCACAAGGACACACAATTTCTAGATTAAGAAACCCAAAGCTTCCAATCTGTCTGCTGAATTCAGAACATAGCATCATTTTAAAAAAGAGGTGGCGCAGTGGGTAGAGTGCAGCACTGCAGGCCACTTCAGCTGACTGCTATCTGCAGTTCGGCGGTTCAAATCTCACCGGCTCAAGGTTGACTCAGCCTTCCATCCTTCCGAGGTGGGTGAAATGAGGACCCAGACTGTGAGGGCGATATGCTGACTCTGTAAACCGCTTAGAGAGGGCTGAAAGCCTTATGAAGCGGTAGATAAGTCTAACTGCTATTGCTATTGCTATTGCTAACCTCACAAATACTGATACACAAACCAACTGAGATATTGTAAGTCAATCAATTTAATATGACTGTGTCTATTATTTGAAGCAAAGGCTTCATATGCATCCTTCCATCTGCTGGATTCATTGGTGTTACATGTGGCTTAGTGGCATCTTGTTCTGCCTAAGAAAGAACATTCCATGGTTGAAGTCTGGGACAACTTCAACATCACATCCTGTTCCAGATGTATTTATGCAACATACAGGCATTAAGACCAAAGTATCCAATATTTGGAAAAATGCATACGAAGCCTTTGCTTCTCATGATATGTTTGTTCAAAGTATGTATTTATTTACTTACCTACTTATTTGCATTCTATAACCAGCCATATCCCCAAAGGCAACGCCCAGTGAACTGAGAGCACCAATTTGTTGGAGGACTATTACTTTGGTGACTGTTTTAATCCCTTTTATAGGGACTGATTCAACCAGTGATCATTTTCTGGTTTGAGCTTTTGGGGGAAGTGATTATTACTTTGTTTTTTTATTATAATTTTGAAATGGCAGCCCCAAGAAGATCACTGCCCCCCCACACACAGATGGGAATGTCCCTATTTATTTGCATTGCCATTTTACACATTAACAAAATTGGGGAAATATATATGCTGTGACCATAACATCCCTATTTTACAATTGCTCCAGCTTCCCATCTTTATGACCAAAGGCCAGAGGGGAAGGTTATTTAAGTAACCCTCCCTTCCATGTCCAGATGATATAGAGAATCTTACAGCAATAACTGCAGTTACACCAGCTTAAGTTAACCACACTTTGACTCAAAGTCTAAAACTATACCCAAGATTTAGAAATAGCTTTGTTTAATATGTTGTTTGGTCAAACTAATTGTCCAGATTACATATGCTTCTTATTTTATTCTCTAGAAATATCATTCATTATAGATTTAAGACTGTCAACCAACTAACTCCGGACTGATCAAATAAGGAGATAAAGTACTATAAAGCTCAAAAGCCTAAGAAGAATACTCCATACCACATTATCATTCAACAAAAAGTATTAGGACTAATTAAGAGATTGACAGGAACCCAGCAACTAAAGCTAAAGCTAAATTTGCCCCCAAGAATGGAAGAGATGCCTTTGAAGCTCTTGCACATTCACCTGGCCAGGTCTGCAACAGGTAGTTTAACACTTCAAGATGATGTTTAAAATCTCTGGTGCTGGCAATAGTGCAATGCTGTTGGCCAGATCTGGAGGCTACGGTCCCACCCGCCCCTTGGCTCAGGAGCACAGGCCCAAAGCACACAGCCAGGTTCTGGGCATTCATGCGGTTGAAGGTATGGAAAGCAGCAACCAAACTAAGGTGATCAAGCAGCATTGTCAAAGTGGCCTAAAAATGGAAATGGAAAATGGAAATAACAAGTTATTTCAGCCCATTTTGTCAATAACATTTTGTCTTAAGTACAACAATGAACTGCTGGGAAGACGTGGGCAGGTTTTCATGTCAACAAGAAAAGAGAAGAGTATTCAGGACGCCCCTCCATAGGGAAGCTCACTAATGATGCATTGTGAGAGGCTTCGGTGTAACAGAGGATTTTCAAAGGCCGATTAAGTCTGAGAGCGATAGACTTCTATTCTCCTTCTCCACCTGAGACTTCCTCACCTTCTCAGCCTCTGGCAGGCAGTTCAGGAGAGCTGTTGTTGGCTCCTTCACTTCCAGCCCCACCGTCCTATTGGACATGGCCTCCAGCACCACCTGATAGAGGAGGTCGGTGATAAGAGGAGTGGGTAACTCACGCAAATAGTCCTTCAAGATCCCTGGAAAGGAGGAAAACAGAAAACAAAATTCAACCTTACCTTTGTTGTAGGTTCAACTTTCATCTTTATTAGAGAAGGCCGGATTACACCCCAAATAGTGGTACTTCAAGATCTGTGCCACATTAAAGTTCCCTGAAATGAAAATCCTGATACACAAAGAGCCGAGGTGGCGCAGTGGTTAAGGTGCAGTACTGCAGGCCACTTCAGCTGACTGTTATCTGCAGTTCGGCGGTTCAAATCTCACCGGCTCAAG